TAACGCACACACACACACAAGTAAAGTGGAATTCCGCAATACTCATCGCAAACTGTCAAAAGTCAAATGATTATTTGACAACTATAAACCTTTATTTAATTATTGTCAACTCCTAACTTGGGCAGAGCACACTTAAGAGTTATTGAGGCTAATTATTGACTCAAGGCCAAAATGATGTATGTATGTATATATGTAACTTTCGCCTGTCTATTTGTAGTTAATTTTATTTTTTCATTCATGATAACATTTTTATAATCAATTAGGAGGGCTTTTTACTTTAGTGCTGACGTCGCATATAGCAACAATTAATCATCACCCAACTGCTTATTGGTTTTAATTTCATTAAGTATCTCTTTATTAAAATTATTTAAATACCTATATCGGCACTCGTGCTGTCAACATTTACTATCAATTGTAGAGAATCCAATTTAAATATTTGTGCAAATATTGCTAAGTTCTTGTCTTAAGTTATAAACGTTGGTAGTGCATTCGATTGCTTATCAAAAAAAAATTTTTGCCCCTATCGAAAACAGTAAGTGTCAGACTGGACTACTGAGAGGCTTCCATTCAAAGTGTGCGTTTTAGGCATTCTTAAGAATACTTATCCCGTGGTAATTGACGCAGGATTACATTTCTTGTAAGTTGAGTAGAACTCGCTAAGGTTTATATCCGGAGCTTTGCAACCGGTTGCAGGGGACTTTTAGAAATTTCACTTATTTTTATTTTTCACTAACAAGCTAATAAAGTTATCGAACCACACACTTTTATGTAGGTATATTTACTAGCTCCTTGCATACCAACTAAAGACATTAAATTGAATGTAATAGCGGCTAAATAGCTATAAAACTTTTACGAATAGCCCATTAGCATTTATTTAATAGCAACTTAATTTAATTGATTTATGACAGCAAATGACAGGCAAAGAATATTGACAGTTAACTGACAGGCAACGCCCACTAAGCAGCATGGTTGCATTACACACATACATCATATGGAGCAGTGAGGCAAAGAGGCCTTCTAGTATTGAGTAAGCGGAATACAAAGGTGAAATAAACAAGAGTATTTTTATGAATAGAAGGAATACAATAACTCCACTGCGCCACTAAAAGCTGCAATATCCTTTTTGTTTGTCTGTAATAAATTTTTGTCAATTGTTCTGCGTCAATATTTATTGTATACATTACTACAAAATTTTACCAATATAAACAGGTAAATAATGAAGGAAATGTGTTGTCAACAGTTGGCCGAATGTTGAGTATTATTTACAACAGAATTTACTTAATCCATTAGTATTGTATATGCGCGAACGCAATTTTCTGTTTACCAGTGAACAATTTCTGTATAGTAAACTGATGATAAATTTGGTAAAAATAAATTGCAATGTATAAACTATGAGAAATCGAGCTGATCTTGTAGGTATGCATAGGAAAAAAACACAGAAACTCAATCACCCGTTAACTTTTATAATAACAAAACTTTCGCAGAATTAATTTTTGTTTTACTTAATGCATGTTTACGTAAATATGTAAAATAAACACCCGAAATGTGCGTTTTAATTTTTGAAATTTAAGCTTAATTTGAGCTAAATGAAGATGAAAAAATCCTCCTTTTAACACAGCAATTTCGGCTAATTCAAATCTTTTCTAAGACAATTGGAAGACAGTAGGTAAGATAGTTTGAAAAACTTTATTTATTATGGCTCGAAAGTCTCATAAAAAAAGCACTCTTGCCAACTGTTCACACAAAGCATCACTGTTCCAAATGGAAATGTACAAGTAAATCCTTTTGCTCGCGCTGCTCCAACAGCCGCAATGGCCGAGTGAGCAAAACTCTGGCGTGCATTCGAGAGATCTGAGGTTCGAATCCTCGGGCGGCGGATTTTTTTCCTGTTATTTTAATTTAGTTTTTATATTTTAGATTTAGTGTTCATTTAATTTTAAGATTTTATTGTCTTCAAATGAAAAATATATCTAAAAATTCTTAATTTAATGTAACTTTTTAAAAGCTGATTGTGTTTTTAAGTCAATTATTTTAATTTTATTCTCTTTTAATATTTACATTTTATTGTTTTAAAAAGAAAAATACGGGTTTTTAATTTACTTTGTTTTCTTTTTTTCAATTTGTACTCTTTTATTTTATTTTAATATTTAAATTTTATTGTTTTAGAAGGAAAGCAATTTTTTAATTTCATTTAATTTTTAGAAATTTTTTATATTTCTTTTTTTCCAATTTAATTTTTTTCTTTTTGAATTTAGTTTCCCTTCATTTTTAGGTTACATTGGTTTTATGTTTTTCATAATTACGTATATTTTTTTAAATGTAATTTTCTTTCAGTTTTTAGATTTCATTGTTTTAAAAAGAAAAGTATTTTATGAATTTCATTTAATTTTTAGAAACTTAATTAATTTTTTCTTCTATTAATGTTCTTTTTTCCCTGTTAGTGTGTTCTTGTTTTTAATTTAATTTTCTTTTAATTTTTGTATTTTATTGTTTTAAAAGGAAAAGATTTTTTATTATTTTCATTTAATTTTTAGAAACTTATTTTATTTACTTTTTTGGTTTTTTAATATTTTTTTGTTTATTATTGTAATTTAATTTAATTTAATTTTCTTATTGTTTAAAAATATAAATGTATATATATATATATATTTGATTCAAGTAAATTTTGCAAAAACTTATTTCTAAAAGACAAACCAGATAACGTATATTTAAATAAATTATTTCTTAATGTGCACATATACGTTTATAAAACAGAGTACTACCTCAAACTTAGATAAAACCCTATAGCTCAGTTAGGTTAAATCAGGAGATTCGCTCATATTCGATGGCCGCTAACAAAATTTCCTGCTTAACATTTATGCATTTATGCATTTAACCCTCCATCATTCATTTTAATGGACACATATGTAACTTCGACGGGTCATAAAGACTCATTGTTATTTGAGTTAAGGGTTAAAATGTTCTACCAGAAAATGTCTCGCTAAATTTTACTGGGGGTCTCTGAAGACAAAGACAAGGACATTTGACATTTTAAGTCAATAAAAAAATTACGTGAACGCTGAATTTGTGGCCAAATTTCAAACCCACTGTAGAATGTGATGGGGTGGAGCAAGATATTCGACAGCCACGCATGATTGCTAACGGTTTGCCATTGTTTCAACAAGTCCCTAAAATGGCTGTTGCGCAGTCTTATAAGTAAATACAAATCAGATTACATATTCTTGTTCATAATTTTTCACTTAATGTATTTGATAAAACTGACATTGGCATAAAATTTCACGGAATTAAATTGAGTCTAAAGCACTTCTGAAATTCATGAGTACTTTTTTATGCAAATACCACGCAAGTTTTAATTCTGATTTTTTTCTGTTGAATTTTTAAACACAAAATTCACCTTACCAATCCCTTTGTTTGGCGAAAAATTGAGAAATTCAACTTTCGTCTGTTGATAATTTGCATAACCAGACAGCTTTGTCTTTATCAAATTTTTGCTACAGCACACTTTATCTAATTTGTATAAAGTTTTATTTACAGAGAAGTAGATATGTGCTCGTAGGCATGTGTGTATGTATATTAGGGTGTTCCAAAATAAGTA